CACCCCCGCGTGTGGCTGCCCCTGCGGCATGGCTGGGCTTGCCTCCACAGTACCACTGCGTCCTCAGCCCCGGTTGGGGGTTAGGCTGCTCCCCAGCCTGGGGCATCAGTAGCTGGTGTGACATAGCTGCCACTGCTGGTGAAGGACACCCAATCCCACGGTGACCACCCCATGGTGGCTGGGGAGAAGGGTGCAGCCGGGGTGCTGGCACAGGGGCCCTGTGTCATCCCTGCAGTCAGCCAGGCATCGCCCCAAAATTTCTGGACTTTCCGCAACACCTGCTTCTCTCATCCAGAAACTCAGCCATGGGAGCACGTGGGAAGTAACGTCTCAACAGTGGGGGAAAATGGGAATATTTGCCCCGGCTACCTGCAAACCACCTTCTGCGGGCCAGCAGGAAAGCACTGACACCAAAGAAACTCTACAAATGTGCATTTGGGTACAATTACGGATGCTGACCAAGCAAACAACCTGCTTGAAGCATCACACTGCTGCCCTCCAGCCTGCCAGAGTGACAGCAGCCCCAGGAGTGAGCCTGGGGATTACCTGGGCAGGCGCTGCCCGCAGCTCTATCATTGCCCACTCCGGGAAATTGGGCAATAAAGTGATTTCACTGGAAATATGCAGCTGTAAAAAACTTCAAGCCGGGAGAAACTGGCTCCTTGGGAGCATCTGGCATATAAAAGTCTGGGGGTCTGGCTGCTCTGTACCAGGCATCCAGGAAAGAAAAAGCTCCAAAGCTCCCATCCCTGTTCCTAAACGTTTGGGATTTCCCCAGGATTAATTTCCAGCCTCTCTCCCTCCAGAGACATGTCCCTGCTGCCTGGAAGGCTCAGCTGAGGGTGCCATGGCTGTGCAGAGCTGTCCCCACACTGCAAGGCAGTGCCTGATGCCCGCTGTACAGCAAAATCCAACCTGAGTGGGATGGGAAAGGGGTGCAAGAGGGGAAGCTCCATTGCACAGAGCAAGGCAATACGGGTAGGGACAGTTACCAGTAAATCCTAAAAGACTGGAGCGGTATCCACTGGTTCCAAAGCCGTGCCAGGAGGAGGCAGCTGCTGTCCAGAAACTCGGGAAGAATAACAAGACAACACCCTCCGCAAGAGCAGAAAATACCCTCATACATTTCTGCTTAATGAATTAATGTGTTTACCCACAGAAACGCTCACCCTGAAGCTCCTTTCAGGATTTGGGGTGACTTTTCCTGTGGAGACACTGGGAGCTGTGGGATGGGGGTTGGGCAGGTGCTGTGCTGGGTTGCCGTGCTCCATGCTGGGATTTCGGTATCCAGCGCTGCCATGGTGGGGATGGCTTCATCACCACCTGCCCGATGCGCCCACCCAGGGGACAAAACATGGGTGTCAGGCAAAACGGGAGGTTCATCTCCCCTCCTGGAGATCCACCACAGCCTGGCCACAAGTCTGTTCCACCCTTCCCAGGAAAACCGTTTTCCTCAGTGTCCAACCTGCAGAGCCACAATTTGTCACCATCACCCTGTGTTAAGCTCTCCGGCACCTCCAGGACAAGGCTCCAGCGCTTGCTGCAGGTGCAGGCGGTGGCTTTCCCCTCCCCATGCCCACCACCCGCAGTTACAGGAGCTCCTTCATGGGCAGGTGCTGCTCAACGCAGCCGCCAGCTGTGTGCCCACAGTGCTGGGCTCGGACTTGTTTTAAATTCCAACTTTGTGACTGTTTCTGTGCTCTGAATCACGGACAGATTTTTTTCCACATCCAGCCTGCTCAGTGGTGCAACAATTTGCATTTTGGGTTGTTTTTTTCATGTTCCTTCCCCTTTCTGAGACGCTACGCAGGGGGCAGAGCAGCAGCTGCCAGGTGCCATGTGAAGAGGCACGTACGTCCTGGGAAATCAGATGGGTATTTCTGTACGACCTCGCTTAGAGCAGACCTTGGCAGCTGTAAGGTATTTGTAAGGGCTGTGAAAAGTCAGCTTTCAGAGGGGTGTAAAACCCTCCCTGGGGCTGGCACAAGCCCTGCCTGGCTGCAAGGGCCCAAGGCTGGGGCACAGGGGAGCCTGGCCACGCTCAGGTTTTGGGATGCCCTCTCTTTTCTATTGCTCCCCTTGCAGAAATCAGAGCGAAAGGTTCAAGGTAGGCGAGCTCAATTTGAGCTCACATCTGACTGCGAAGACTGAAGATGTTTCTCCTCAAATGCCCAGTTAAATCACCAACCCAGCATCCACCAAAAGCATTTGTAGCCCTCGATTCCTTCCTCCCACAAAAAGCTGTTGAAGCAAACGCACCCTTTCCAGCATTTCTTCCTTTCCCATTTCCCTTCCACACCGAGGTCCCATGGTGCGAACCATCGCCCTGCGTGTCTCTTGGACACCACCTGCCCCATGCTCATCTCATACAACACGCCCCTGAATCACAGTCAGAAGTGGGGAACCCACCTGTGGTATCACCCCAGGAAGGCAGGGCACCCCCCGCCCTTGTCTCCAATACTGATCTCCCCATGCCTGCAGCTCACCGAGAGCCCAAGTGAAACGCTGCCACCATGCACAGGTTTCATCTCTCTCCCCTTACCTTCGGCTGCTCCAGGCTCCAGCATTTTTGGTTAAAAAAGGGCTCCAGGTGGGGCCCTCATCCTAGACTCCCATTTCTAGCAGCTTCCCTACCACTGCCCCATGCAGTCCGGATGAGAGCAGGTCCACCTGCACGCTTCACAGCTGCTCCTGCAAGAGCCTGGGAGGGAGAGCTGGAGTAGAGATTTATTTTAGCTTCAGTTTCCTCTTTCCTCCCCCTTTAGAAAGAAGAAACAAAAGCCCAGAGGTATGTTACATTAATTTATTTGGGACACACCAAAAAAGGAAAGTCAACAACTGTTAACGTACAAAAGTACAGAATCCTGGGACAAGATTTACTGTCCTGATTAAAAAGGCACCATGGTCCCAAAGAAGAGTAATCAGAATACATCATTTAGAAATTTTCCCCCTGTTGCAGCAGAAACAGAGCCAGGCTTTGGCTCTATCCACAGTCAAACCCAGTTAAAAAAACAAGTATGATTTAAATGCAATAAACGCTGCTCAGCCTGTACAAGATGTCATGAAAGGAATCACAGCCTAGAAGATGGTTGGACTTTTTTTTTTTTTTAGAAACAGCGAAGGTGACAAACCACTACGGGTATAACTGAGGAAGACAGCAGACTTCTGATGTCTTCAGCTTGACTTTCTGTAAGACACATCAGTTAAACTGAAACTAGTAGGCTGAGTGTGGGGCTTCTGAATGAAATGTAATTCCCTGTGGTATACAGGAAGTCAGATTTGACAACCTTAAATTCCCTGAAAATCATAAAGCACTATACAGCTGTGTTCCATATTCGAGTCAACCCTGGTGGATTTGCTTTACACATGAGCATTTATACTGTCAGCTATATTTGTAATACAAAGGGGGGTTTACAGCAGTTATTAAAAAAATTCTACTTCGGCGAGGTCCGAGCTTGGCTATATTCCCTGCTGAAACAGAGCTGCTGGTGTAAAAGCCCAGTGAGAGGCTCAAGTCCAGCACCTCAGGGCTGGAAGGCAAATAGTTTAAACGTGACATAATTTGCACAGGGAAGTCAGTGAAGCACATCAGAGAGAGGAGGAGAGAGGGCTGCAAGCTCTCAAGCAGCGGAGGCTGAAGGGTGTTGCAGCACGTGGGTGCGTGCTATCAAACCTGTAACGACACTACGAGTGATGCAGAATACACCGAGTTCACTAAATATTTTGGAGCAACTTACCATGAAGAACTTCTCAGAGACACAGAATACGGATCCCGGCAATTACTAACGAGCAAGGTCACTGGGAAGCCGATGCATCGCTCGGAGCCGGACGGATCTGTCCGTAGGCGGAGGGACGGAGCAGAGGTACGCCAGAGGCTGCCTGAGCAGCCAGGCCAGGGCTGCCACCGCCTTTTGCGCTCGCTAGCTCTGCTGTGTCCCAATCGGACCAGCAGCTAATTTACGTTTCATTCCTCCTTTGGCATAGGACTTCAAAGCAGTCCAAGAACTGATTCATCAGAAGTAAAGGAACTGTCAAAATTATTCGTACATGCATTTATTGTTAAAGGGAGCAAAAGCCAAAGAATGAAACAGCACGAGTTAATGTCAGTAAAACGATGTGCAGGACGGAGAGGAAAGAAACGGGGGAAAAGCTGAGATACTGGAGTGGGGAAACCAACATTCACACTGAAAGGTAAATTTGAAAACCAGGCAAGTTTGCACTCTTTCTACCAGAGAACTTCTGTGGACAAATAGAGACTTGGGGCTTTTAATTTTCAGTGTAGTCTGGCAAGGTTTGGAAATCTCACCAGAGAGATCTCCAGCACTGGGTTTCACTGAAAGTTCCAAGTCTCTCATCTTTAAAAACCAGTAAAGCAACTCTAACTAAAAATGGCCGATACCCTTGTACTGCGGGTATCTAAAATCACAGACACGTCACTGCTCAGGATGTACGTGGGCAAGAGGGTTACACTTTGTTCAAGCAAACTCTGGGTGGAAAACTACCGTTTCCACCCTGCTGGTCTGCACGGACCTCAGGGCATGGAAAAGCAAGCCCAGATTCAGGTG